AATGACCCTGAGGCAATAACTCTTCACCAAACACAAACAAACTGGGGGTCAGGCGTTGTAATGAATGCTTTCATCACAGTGCAGTTAAGCAATTTCGAGACTGCAACTTGCATTGCAACTGAAACAGAGACCAACCACTTCTTTGGTTAAAAAGTACACAGAATGAGCTTCTACAGACGCTTTCTGAACTTTTAAGCCTCAGTGACTGTTTAATGTCCAGAACATCTGTAACAAGATTTATGTGACGTTGGCAGTGGAATGTATCATGATAAATGAGCCACTGTCATCCCAATTGTGACCTTTGATGGCCGAGACAGCCCAAAGTGCTACTACAGCAACTTATATTGTTGATGTGAACTGGATTTACTGATAATGGTTAAACGTTTCTTTTGGATGTAACAACAAGCTCCCTTTTGACGTTTTTTCCATCTGGCAGTTTGCACAAAATACCCTTCACATATATCATCAGGGCAGTGCAGTGAGAGTCCAGTCCTATTCACACACTGGGATAAACCGCAAAAATCAAGACCCTGTGAAGACAGCAGCTACATTTTTGAAATCACATTTTTGATTGGCTTGAATCTTAGTTTCATAAGATAACATAATAATTACCAAATGGCTCTTCAGTGTGAAAAGAGTAGTAAAGCATGATAGCTTTTAATATATCAGAGATAAATAAATTGAAAAAATCTCTGCTCTGCATATTACTATTTTGTTTATTTGTTGGTAATTTAGACATACTGTGAGTGATTTTTCCTCTTCCGCATGCCTATAGTATATACAGTTTCTTGATAACACCCTAATAGCCACAGGGGACACTGTGACAAAAGCAATAAATATTTATGAATTATTTATGACAGTGGTACAGTTGTGGAGTTAGCACTGTTGCCTCATAACAAAGAGGTTCTGGGTTCAAATCCACTGGTGTAAGTGTGTCAGGATACTGCATTGATCCCAGGAGAAATGATGTGATCACAGTTGTTCCAACACAGTGAGAACAGTGTCTAGTTTAAATAATACATATTTTTTACATTCTGCAATATCACAAAATACATCTAATTATAAATATCTTATATATATTTATATTACACAATATTATATTGTCCGTTTGTCATCGTTTGCCCGGTGATGGACCTTTACAGATTGTACCCAGCTCTCACCCACTGACAGCTGGGATTGTCACAGTCTGGCTGAGAAGCTGCCTGTGTGGAGTCGGAAAGAGGACCACACGAGAACAAAACTTCATCTTAACAGAAAAAGAGTCGTTTATTGAGGCTGGCAAAATAAATACAAAGGGCAAGGACGAAAACTAAACAATAACCTAAATTGGGTGGACTAACATTAAAACACGAAAAAAAAACTTGAACATGGAGATCTAGCAATGATATACAGAAAAACCTGGAAACATGACATGAAAGCAGACAACCGGACGAGGAATGAATGAAAATACACAGGCTAAATACACACAAGAGGCGATCAGGGGAAATGCACACACGGGGAAACAGCTGACAAAATGAACATAACAATGTCACAGGGGAAGAGTAAAACTAAACACACTGAGCATAGAAACACAAGACCTCTTCAAAACAAAACATTAACCATAATGAAACGCAGACATGACAACATGAAGTTGACAACATAAAGCACAGACATGAGACACATGAGGGGCGACAGAGATTAAACACAGGGGTTGAAGACACAAGGGGAATCTAATAGACAGTGAACTATAACGGCAACCTAGGCATAAAAGAAATGAACTTAGGTAACCTAAAGAATGTAAACATAACCCATAAACCTCAAAATATATTAAAACTCAAAACGCTGGGTCAAATGACCCAGGATCATGACAGGAATAGGCTCCCTCGCATTCCTGAAATGGACACGCAGTTTAAAAAATGGAAAGATTAATATATAACTGTTATTATTTAGTTATTTATGACTATTAAGGACTGACACAATGCCAACACAATTTTTATTTTGTTCTGTGTAGCAAAACATATTCAGCTTACATGTATATGCTAAATATGGACTTAAAGTCCAGACTCTCAGAGGTTGACACTTATTGTCATTTTTGTACACTGTACCCTACGTTGGGTGCTGAGTTGTTATTGGGCAACTGAATCAAAATTGTTTTAAGGACAGGAGTGGCCCTTCCTTAGTAAGCGCTTGCTTAGGCTGTGAAAACAAAACGAAACCAATGACTCAAAGAGACGACAGGAACATTACGATAGCACAAATCAACAGTTTCAGTACAATCTGGCACTGATGAGCTCTGCAACATTAAAAAGAGCATGAAATCCAGAGCAGACAACTGTGGTGGATGACTAGAGAATCATTTAAATAGCAAAGAAAAGCTTCTTTGGAACATTTAGTCAAGTTTAAGAAAAGGTAGGCGCATGATTATCCAGGTCTGCCAAAAAAAAAAACATCCAAAAAAGCTAGAGCAGCTGCAGAAAAGGTCAACATGGACCAGGCTTGTAATCGTGCACATCGCAGCGTGTGCAACATCACCTGTAAAAAACATGGTGGAAAAAAAGACATAGAGATGCATGGACATGCATGGACATGCATGGACATGCATAGCTTCCAACTGCACTGTGCCACTAGTGTTTGAACATGACGGGACAAAAAGTCAAAAAATCAGCCTGATGAAGAGTGTGAAAAGCTTTACGTTCAGTTCAGATTCCACCAAATACGTCATGTCTGACCTTACAGTGAATGCTTTCATCACAGTGCAGTTAAGCAATTTGAAGGCTGCAACTTGCATTGTGACTGAAACAGACACCAAAGAGGAAGCAAAACATTTTTACCAACCACTTCTTGGTGATAAAGTACACAGAAAATGAGATGCTACAGATGCTTTCTGACCTTTCAAACCTCAGTGACACCTTAAAGCTTGAATCACCTGTAACAAGATTTATGTAGTGGTGAGGAACTCTGAAGTGTGAAGAGATTTAATTTCAGTTCTGATTCAATCAAATACCTCACTTTGTTTCTGCATCACAAACTCAGGAGTTTTCCCACATCAACTCATTTGCCAACAAACAGACGGCTGCAGAAACCCTGCCAGAGCTTCACAAAGTTGAACATTTATTTTATGATGTCCATGTGTTTCACACTTCAGACTGTGCTAATTTATCAAATTAAATTTGAGTCCCCCAAAATAGAGGAATCTGAGTAAAGATGGCAGTAATTCATCAGTGGTTAATGCAATATGTTACTGAACAGCTTGCCCCATCAACAAGCAGACAGTGTTTGATAAATGAACTCCACGCAGAGGCAGGAAACAGGAAGTATCGCCAATCCATCAGTTTCTCATTGCTTGAATCTTTGCTGATTCAAACTAGACATGAACCCTTGGAACTATGAAAAGCTAAAATAATCCCAGAGAATGTCTTTGATTTGGATTTTGATGGTTTTAATGACAGCATACACTCCAGCTGGAAACCACTGATTTCCATTAGCATTGGGCATTTTCATACATTCTGAACTTTCTTTCCTGTGCCTTGTGAACTCTGCTCAGATGGTTTCTCGATTTCACCACAAGGCACTTTACATATTTTGAAAAACCTGCCCATGTGGTTACACTTCTATGAAACCCTACAGAGCCATTGTTCTAAGTGGGAAAGTTTAGTCTGGTTGAGTTCTTGGCTTTTCTCCCACAGAGGCAAATCCCCATGCAGAAGCGCTGGTCCAGATGTGGCTCTGCAGCAGCTTAGCACTTGTTATTCTTTAATGTGACAAATCTTTATAGTCTTGTTGCTATGCAAGTTAAACAAGCTGCCGTAGGGAGATTCTCAGCTGACAGCAGCCTCACTGCTCTATGTGGCACTATGTACACCCGTGGAAGGAATAAATACATGCAGCCTTATTTGTATTCTTACCTTGATGGAAACCTCTACAGAGAATAAAGAACCATATTTGAGGAGTCAGGACTATTGATGAGGCGTCTGTTTTAATCACTACAGTATAGGAAGCTCTTTTAGTTGCAATATCTTGGATCTTACGTCGAGAGTTCTGGTGCAAAGCCACCAAATGTTCAAAACTTGATTTAACTCTATAGCTGTAAGATAATGAGCCAATTGTACATGTCCAATTAGTTTTGAGCCTCTATGTATAAAACTAGCTATAATTCTCAGGATGCTAAACTGGTATAATTAAATCTTAAAGTCTGCAGGTCGCATTTTATTGTTTTATTTGAATTCCACTGCAGTGTTGTAAAAAGTCAAAACTATAAAATTGATCAGAATCCAAAAATATATGGCACTAACTGCATATATTGTAGTTATTTTCTTTCTTGCTGCAGATTTTTATGTTGGCACCATTTATGACAGGGAAGGGAATGAATAAAAGGTTCACGTCTAATTACTAAAACATCAAGTTTTCTAAAATAATCAACAGCTTGGAAAATCATGTGGTGGTTAGCAGCTATTCTGCATCGCAACAACAAAGTCTTTCAACTGATTGCCCCAGTCCTGGATTTATGCATGTGAAGAAGAGGCGAGTCCAAACCAAGCTAGGTTTTTACAATTGTACATTAAACTAAACATTTTTCTCAGTCTAAGCAGAATTAGTAAAGGAGACTTTGTAATATGGAAAAAATACATAAATAAATTTGACTTTGAAATGAAACCAATAGTGCCAAAAAATATACACATTTATTTTTGAAAACTAGAATCCATTATGTTTGTCAAGTCAATCTAAATGCAACATAACTGGACTTGATTGACTTAAATTGCTGCAACATCTAAATCTTTTCTCCTCACCTTGAAGTTGAGCAGCTTCACCTTGTTGAGTCTGTACTACACGTTTACAGAAGCCGTCAGCTGATCGGCACATCAACTACAGCTGTGCGTATATGCAGTCATGACTAATCTTAATATCGGGCCTCCAATGTGTTGATGATGACAAAGATTTAAAGTCACACATCCTTTATCAAACTGACGCTCTCCAAACATACTAAGGTGAAGAGAATAAAATAAAATGATACAGACGCTTGGCATTATAAAGAACAAAAACAACTTTATTTACAAAAACAGACCACTGACCTGTCCCACAATCCCCCTAAATTCAGTGACTACTGTGGATTGCTATGTCTGTGGCTGAGGTTGGGAATTTACTGGACTGACAAGAACAACACCCAGTGCAAACCTTCAGTATTTTTCCACCAACTCCACAGAACGGCGGCACTTGTTGGACTGCAGGCTGCAGCTTACACACAGTTAGGTGTCAGCTTGTGTTAGGCTCCCAGGTGTGAGTAAGCAATGTGCTTTTTAATGAGCCTGGGGGCCAACATGACATCACAAAGACAGGAAGGGTTTGGGGCTGGGAAGTTTTATACCATCTGGGACAATGGTATGTATGTGTCACAACAAATTATTCCAATTAGCACAAATTAAAATGATATCATTATAAAAAAAAGTTTCCTGTGGTCAAAGCTGGAGGATACACAAAATGAAATATTTCAGAGACAGCTTTGTGTACATTAGACATCAACTAGCCTTTCCTACTAGGGGGAATGCAAAAACTCTTTAAATAAAAAAAATGATTTTCTTCCACGATGACTGACACTTTCTAACTGTGATCTCTTTGTGAACAGAAAAAGCGATCAAGCGTGTGAACTCTCATATAGCTGTGCCAAATTCTGCTCGCACAGATGTAAGTGTGAAAGACACCAAAGCTACTGCTCAATGTTTAGAGAAACAACAGCTTTGTCATGTTTCCATGTAACGTGTCTTTGTGGTGCTGCATGCATGGTTTCTGTAGTTGGAGGTGACAAAAACCTGACAAATTCTCAGTAACTGACCCGTGAAAAAGTATGTGTGTCATTCCTGTTCACGCAGCAGCTAAATGCTCACACACTTGAAAGCAGGTTATTACATCACAGGTGGTCAACGTGAGACACTTACAAGCCGAGTGGCTTCTTGTAGGTTTCCATGTAAGCTGGTGTCTGCTCACAGTAAACCGCATAATACCTCATTCTGAATCACTAAAGATGACTCGCAGCTGGGAAAAGCAACGATCTGTGGGTCCTGAAACGTATGCATTGGTAAAATTCATGTGTGTTGTGCGAAATGTCCGTGTGTGAGGTTAGAAAGCGTAGCGAGTGCGAATGTCCTCCAGCTTCTTAGAGACTTCGGGTGGTGTTCTGTCCAACTCCTCTGCCACACTTTTTTGCTTGTGAGGGTCCATGCTGTTAAACTGCTCGCACAGATCTCCATCAATCACATTCTGGAGAAAATGACAGAATTTGTTTTTGTTATCCTCAAATATTTTTTAATAAACAGGTTCCGCAGTTGAAACTATATTATAAAAATAAGACGGATGTGTAAAAACAATCCCAACCTTGACTGGGAAGTAGTAGGATCTAAAGCTGAGATGGTCTCTGCCACAAAGAGGAGGAAACTCTGAGCGCATATGCATCTCTAAGTGCTGGAAGAAGTCATGATCCTGTCAGACGAAATAAAGAAATCCGGGGGGTTAAAAAGAGAAGGAAGAGAAATCGGGAGGACATTTGAGCCACACAATACTACTTTAGGATCATGCAAAGTGTGCATGTGTGTTCACTTAAATGAGATCTTAGTGTTTTACCTCATGTGAAGTGAATGGGACTAGTATGCCGATGCCTCCAGACAGTGTGGTGTAGACCAGGGACTCTGAACCACCAGGAATCAGAGTAGTCTTCTGCAGAGATAACACTGTCTCTCCTACATGGTAGTTCATTATTATCTCAGCCTGGAGAGCGAGAGAGAGAGAGAGCGAGAGAGCGAGAGAGAGAGAGAGAGAGAGAGAGAGAGAGAGAGAGAGAGAATGAAAAAATACAAAAATCTGATCATATGTCAGATCAGATATGTCACCTGAGGCCATTTTATCTCCAAAGATTGGCTGTTCTGACAGCTGCATGTGCACATAAAGCACATTAACTGCCAGTCTGAGTCAAAATAAGAAACACTTTCATCCTCCACCTGGATGAAATTGGTCCTGATGGTTTAATCTGATAACCGTCCAGAAACCACCAAACCAATGATGATGATAGTAATCAGAAGGTACTGTGAATACCAAGGGAGCATTGTGTAGTAATAAAACCTCAATATTAGGCTAATTAGACCACATCTGGGACTAAGGAGGGACAAGCAGAGTTGAAATGACCTCTGTACTCCACAAATAAGTCAGAAAGCTGTGCAAAGAAGACAACAGCTTCCCTTTACTTGAACCTGTAACAGTTTATTTCACCTGAAAATGTTTCATACAAAGTGTTTGACCACTGCAGCCCCAGCTGTACACTGGATTACAAAAATCTACACATGCACAATGGATGTCAGGTCAATTTGACATCAACTTTCTTGTATAGTGATTCACCAGGCAATGGACAGAGCGAGTCATCTATCAAAGGGAAGCTCAATGGATCGATTCCCTGGCTATTGGATTGCATGTCAAAGAATCCTTAAGCAAGATGTTAGAGTGTGCAACTGATATAAAATCTTAGGTATAGAAAATACTGCTTATATGAATCTGCGTGATTGGGTGAATGAGCCTTGTAAGGAAAAACGCTTTGAGTGCTCAGAGTAGAAAAGCCTCTACTTTGTATGGCATATATCATGTATGGCAGCATTTTGGCCGAGCCACGTGACTTGCCGGCTGGACAGACGCATAGACAGACATCATTTTGCATAAAGACAAGTCAAGACATCCACACCCATGTCTATATATAGATACGGTACATTTCCAAACTCAAATGAATCTATGCGTGCAGTGTGCACAAGCAGAAATAGCACACACTGTGTCACAATGGCAACTGGGACCAGCTCATAATGACTACACTGGAGGGACTTTCCCAGTCTATGTGCTACCTAAACAGTTTCTGACCAGGATTTAAAATGTGGGATGAGTGATCCGGTGTGTTTCTCCTGTGTGTGCGCGGCTTGTGTTGGTTGCATTTGAGAGTAGGTTAAACTTGTGGTTGATGGTGGTGTGTCTGCGGAGGTTGGAGTGGCCAGGGAGGCAGATTAGTACACCGGGCCAGATTTCAGCACTGGATGAATGCGATGTAGCAGAGGTCTGTCTCAGTTATCCCACCTAAAGCCACAGTTTTCTGCTTTGCCTCATAAAAGTGTACACTTGCTACTTGCAGGATAAACATCTTTGTACTTTGCAACCAATATTAAAATACCATATTTAACATCTACACTAATTTCTAAACAAATGGTAAGGTAATTTTTTTTTTTAAATAATTCAACATATTCTCAAAAGATGTAGAATTAGACAGTATCCATTGCATCAATATACTTTGCCGTAATGTAAAGCTCTTAGTATAGTAAGGGTTGTGTTTGCAGCAGCTTTCAGTTTCTCTTTTTGCAGTTCAGATTTGGTTTAAAAGAGAGCAAAACAGCACAGGCCCAACAATGAATGAAGTTTCAAAGTATACACTTACTTAATGTTAAAATATACGTTTTACATACACAGCCTTTAACATCTCATCTGAACCAGTCCTATTATTTTAAACATCAGGAAAGTGAAAGTGCTTTGATATTTTCTTCAAAAATGCAGAAGCCCCTGCTACATTCTTTTCTACATGACTTACTGTATATTTTATTATTAATATTTTAATAATCTCACTTCTGGTTACCTTATAAAATACTGGCTTATATCCCCTTTTAAAAAATATATTGAGATATCATTTGTGGCCTATACTGCTCAGTCACAGAAAATGATGAACGATTGTTTAAATGTTTAAGTAACTCTAAGCTTTTTTTTAAAATTTGAAGCATTAACCCGATGCACAAGCCTGAAGCAGGTCTGAACAGACAATGCATGTTAAATCTAAATTGTTCTTTCACTTTGAGGTCAAGCTGAAGACCTCTGCTCCGGGGCAGCAACAGCTGTCAAGACTCATTTATTTGTTTCTAAAGGACTGCGAGGCACTGGCACGACATCACATTTCTGAACTGCTTACCCTCCATCCCACCTCCAGATTCCTCAAATTTGCTTACCAACCATTGCTCTCCATCCCACGCACAGACTTGAAACCAAGTTTTACAGTCATTGGTCCAAAAGTATGGAATGGTTTACCATTAAGAACTTCCCCATCCCTTGATGTTTACACAAACTCATCGAAGAGCCACGTCTTTCCCTTAAACCTCTTTAACCTCACTTTTATTTATTATCTGTTGGCATCCAGAGAGACAATGTCCTTTTTAATTCACTCACTTCTCTTTTTTGAGTCTATGCTTCATCTGCTCAGACACACTGTTTAATTCCAGAAACATGAAAAGGTGAAGCATATGTGTACCTTCTGTGATGCTCCATTGAGGAGGCCCCTGTCCCATAGAGCCTTGTTCCCAGTGGGGTCTTCATCCACATCATCACTTGTGTTAGGGGGGAGACGCACCTAAGCAAACCAAGGACAAAACATGGAGACATTACGTCATTGCAGAAAATTTTGTTTAGGGCTGATGGTCTTGATGTTTTCTGGCTTTATTCGCCCACAAAAATACAATACACACCCCCAAACACTTCTCGCCCTTTACTTACGATGCTGATGTTCCCAAACTTGTCAGCAGCAGCCATGGTGTCATAATCGAGCAGACAGGCCGTCGTCACCCAGCGGGGATATGTGTCATCAGCGAAGATGATGAGCTGGTTCTCATTACGTCTGTAACGAACCCAGAACAGACTCTCCTGGACATCAGACACGATGACACGCTGGCCAATGGTGTGGATGCCAGTCACCAGGTTGGGAACGTGCTACAAAGAGTTAGGGAGAGCAGTGAGGTACACTCAGTCAAGTGTTTTAAAAGAAAATAATGCAATCTGGACATGTTCCCCAAGTGGTGTCCTGTGCAGCGCTGTGAAAAATGACTTGCTCACACTCATTAAAACTTCTCACGTTACACACTACAGGATGTAACCATTAAGGGAGGGACTAAATAGACTGGAAACAATTGTTAAAAGTATAATCCAGAGGGGCTATACAATGCACATGTGTTTATGTATGCACTGTACTGTATGGTATTAACTCAACTGTCAGCTACATGCATCTTATCTGCAACACAACACTCAGGCAGCAACACTGCTGCACATCAGCTGTTCATTAATTAGATACAACATTGGTCTTTACTGTTTACGCGTTAAAGTAAAGTTGTTCTGTGTGACTGTTAAAGCCCCACAAACTTAAGGAGTGCAATGTTTTTCCCCTTTAAACACGTCCAAATCTTACGTTTCAAAACAGACCGCACTATTTTTATATCCTGTTACACAGAGAAGTTTCAAGGCAGGCTGTTAATTTCAACCAAAACATTCTGGGAAAAATGTTTATGCAAAAGCGTGATGCATCACATACACTCATGAAAAGATTTGCTCTACAGCACAACAGGTGCTTCAAACCTCTAAAACCTAAACAAAAAGTGTCTGCAAACAAAAACTAGACACCCTCACACTCAGTCTTGACCCCGTTTACAACAATTACTTTGCTGCATTGAAAACACCCTTCAGGTGGTTTGTTCTTTATATAAAGGCACCTCTGCTTCTTACAAAACGGTGCAGTTTGCTTTGGTTAATAAAGATAAAGGTGTCGTGCCATTAGGAACTTTGAAAAAGTCCCTGATGGCTAATCTGGAACAAATCGGCCATGCACCATTAGATAAAACCTTTTCTTTTCTTTTCACAGGAAGGAAAACCCAGAGTGCAAACAGAGATAAAGCTATCCACATACAGATGAAACTTTTTTTGAAATTGGTTTCAAAGAGTTGAAATAAAAACTATTTACCAGCCAGTTAAAGTATATTTGAAAGTTTTAATAAATAATCATCTGTACTACAGTGTTGTTTTTAACAAGATTAATTAATAAAGATGCAGGTCTGCAATTGAGATTATTGACTATCATTTAGCAGTGTAACTATTGTAGTACGAATGTCTTGTATTGTGATTCGTTTTTCCTGTGTCACTGTACTGAGCACCTGTTGTGCTGGTTACACAGCACATGTTCAAATAGAATATCAATATCTTCTGATGTTTCTTATGCTAGCTAGCTTTGTGAAAGCTGTAATATCTGTTTAAACCATGCCCGTCTGGTGAAAGCTATAGTCAGATGTGTCCAGTAAAAAGTGAACTGGATTTTATTTATTTATTTTTCATGATGACACTTTTTGTTTCTTATTCTGAAATTAATAATTTTATGATGTAAGCCTGATTACATCCCGGATCGGGATGCTTCTGCTCATCAACTCATTGATCATGGGTCAGGTCAAAGTTGGCTCCTTTTAGTAAATCTTTAAAGACTAATTCTTCATCGTCTATATTTTCAGATCAACTATATTCATCATCTCTATAAAGAACCTTTGATAGAAAGTGGGATTCGCAGGTGGAAGAGAGAATATTTATATAGGGTGTATAGATGTTTGTGTCCAGACGTCCTTGTCTTACCTTGTTCTCACACTTGCGTAGCAGCTTCTTTTTCCCCAGGTCGTAGATTCTAAGCAGTTTTCCCACTCCAACTAGGGCTCGTCCCTGGAATGGTGCGATTGCCAAAGGCACGTCCTCTACTGGGGTCTAGAAATAAACAAAACAATCTGGGTTCAGATAAAGATTGAAACAGATACAGAGCTTTTTAAAGAAGACGAAAGGAAGTCTCACTAAACACAGTTTTAGTCATCATAAGAGATTGTAAGACAGCTACAGTGAAATCTGCCTGTGGTTTTGGATTTACTACAGATCCCAGCTGTTTATTTTTAACATGTTAATTTTTTAACGATTTTCTTAGAAAAGCACTTCTGAACAACCGCATAAACAAACTCTTTACCTGTTGAAACATTAAGAAAGTATTTTGGTAAATTATATTTCTCAATAAGATTACACCAGTCATGAGTCAGACATCGTCAATACTTTCCCTGTCTAAGATATGCCCAAATTACAACTAAAACGCAACTTGAGAATCCAAATTTCCCCTCTGGAGAGTGACTAAGAGTGTGTTGTGAGCTCAGACATCCTGGACAGGAAAAACCTTTCAACCCGGTGCTCTGCTTTCTCCGTGGCCTTCAGCGGGCCTGTCACAGTTTGATGGATATTTCTAGTTTATTGCCCTGTTGGAACATACACCCAACGACACAGCCATCTCAGAAAAGTGCGTCTGCCTACATCCAAGATGCTGTCATGACTTTGCACTCAGAAATGTGTCATCTTATTGTGCATACTCTGATATCTCTGGTTATATAACAAACAGGGAAAAAAGTGAGTTGTGACCTGATAGAATCATCTAAAATATCAGATCTGGTTAAGTGGTCGGGAAATTCCTGATACCACTGCGAAACACAACACTCATGAGTCATTTCCCCTGTTAATCCACATCAGGTAACAAACGTATGTGGGCTGATTCACCCTGATCGTCTCCACCCTGGTGGGGTTTCTTGGGGAATTGCCCAGCGAGTCTGTGACAACTGGGACAGCAACAGCTGTGTTTCATCCCATCATCAAAATTTTGTATCAGTCTGTCTTGCTTCATGCATTCTGAATAGACTTTCCTCGAGTCCAGTCCTCGTCTTAACATCTGTCTCAAATCATGGCCTGCACACAGTCCCTGGGTAAGCGCAAAGGTGATAAAAGCCAACATCTCCCAAAGAAACCGTATATACATCTTTCTGACATCTGTAAGTCGCCTGTCACACTAACTATTTTCTTCAAACTCCCTTGGGCTGTGAATTATTTTTATTTACTCAGCCTTTCATGATAGAGCTGCACTTGCTACAAGGTCTGAACGTCCTCTCCAGCTGACTTGCTCTGAGTACTGTTACAGCAGAGTGACGGCGGAAATCTTTTGAAACCTGCACACGTGCAGCTGCACCAGAAGGCCAAAAAACAAAGCACAGCACCTAAGCATTAAATTGTTGCAGAGCCTACAGAATGAAATGTTGATTTGCTTTATGAATCAAACTAAAGCCAAATATGACACAGACAAGCACTTTTATGCCGTTTACATCAGTATTCCCCAGTATAAACAGCAAAAGATGAGAGTGAATCAGCTTCAGCCTAATAAATATTCAAGGAGAAACAAGCTTAATAAAATTAACCCCTAATGTCACTGAAACCCACCTTGTGCACAAACTCCAGCTTCTCCCCTCCACTGACGAGTCGATATGTGTAGATGAAGCCGCCACCCACTGACCTTGGGTTGAGAATCATGTCTCTGGCAACACCGACCAGGACGTACCAATCGTCACCCGTGTTGGTGAATCGACAAGCGGCCACACTGAAAAACACCAAGTACAACATCAGACCCACCTATATACTATATTGCTAGTTTAGATTAGTCACGCTAATCATTTAGAAATATATTAACACAAAATATTAGCTATAACCTTCAAAACATGGCCAACAATACTGTTTTATATCAGAAAGTGATGCTTTTGATGGATCCAGTAGCCTGCCTTCCAAAATCACAAATTTTATTACCTTTTAATTCCATACTATGGGCATCATTTAATCTTAATAAGCATTTTGCTGCATTAAAAAAATACTGTGCCTGTTTTCAGCAGCTGTTGATACAAATCGACACAAAGTGTCGTTTTGAAAAAGGTTAATTTGTCACCAGGTGAAACCGAAGAACCTCTACAATGGCAGCCCAAACTATTTTCACTATGTCAACGGCTGATTAAGAAACAACACTGAGTATTAATGAAGGGCTTGGAATTTGGGAGGCTCACTGTCCATCAAAGAGAAAGGCATAATAAATGAGAAACAGCCCAGGGTCAGACTGTTTAACCTCACTTAAACCCCACCCACCCATCATGAGTACTACTCACCTGAACGCAGCTTCGTTCTGTTCCAGCTGCACTTGATCCAGTGTTGAACCTTGTATGGGATTAACCAGCCGCACTAGTGAGGCCCACTGTCCTGCGCCGGCTTTGGGTGAACCAAAAATGGCTTCTGGAAGATTTTCATTTAGGAATGCAGCAGCCATCTCAGCAGCCAGTTCTCTTTCATCCTCACCTGCAGCTTCTACCATCTCCTACAGTGGCAAAAGAAGGGATGTGATTTTCTGTTTATGACATGTTGGCAACTGTTATTTGAATAAAACCAGCCATATGAAAATGATATTCTAGACTACAAACTGTGATGGGAATGTCTGCCATCACAAAGATTATTAATTCATAATATAATTATCATCAGGGACAAAATGCCATTAAACTACCAAATTCTACTTCTCATTATTTCTACTGTTGGCTTTATCAGTGAGAAAAACGAAAAAACAGTAAAAGGATGTCAGGAAAAATTCCTAAATATAAAAGTAGGTTTATAATTTAATAAACCTACTTTTTTAGGCTCTAACCTGGAAAAATAACTCACACAGGAACAAATTTCTGTTCTCTCTTGTTTATACCCGACATGCCGACTTCTTGCCCTTAATAATTTATTACTGAGAGTAACCGCAGACAGATGTTAACACCACTAGTTGGGTCACAACGATATAGTCATACCTCAGCCATCTGTTGCTTTCTCTGAGCTTTGGTGGCCTCGGTGTAGGCGTTGTGGTCAGTTTCAATCAAAATGAGGTTGTTGGTCTCTGGGTGGATTACAAATTTCCTGGGAGTGTACTGAAGTGGGAAGGCCACTTGGTTGAAGACGGCTCCAAGTTTCTCTAAAGCCAAGATTCTACCAGGCAGACGAGCACAGGTGAGATTTATATAAAAATATATTTTTCGCCCTTCAATAAACTTTTCTTTCTGCAGATTTATAAACACTTTGAACATAAGACGTTTAGAGTTATTTAAATTGCGATAATACATAACAGATGCTGGATTTCTTCAGTTTGAACTCCATTACACAAACAGTGATGCCTATGTTTTACAAAAAAAATTCTCTAAGTGCATCCATACCTCAGAGTATTGGTAGAGATGGCCACTATGCCTTCTGGACATTGCTCAGAGGCAAAACCAGAGGCGTACTCCAGAGTCTCATATGAGAGAGGAGTCAGATGGAAACGAGACTGGTAAGAGTAGCTGAGCCAGGAGCGACTGGACATTGCAAGCACCTGTCAGCAAGAGAAAAGACATCAATTAATCAATTAATTTATAATCAGTGATGAAAAACACAAATTTATTTTTAAATCTTAAGGTTTGATATAAATATTTCTGACTTAATATGATCACAAGCATAAAAACTGACAAAACAAACAATATTTTTGTAAATGCACATATTTGTATTTATGAGCTGATTCTGAGTAAGCGTTTGAGTTACATACAGCTTCCTGTCCTTGCATTCTGACTCTGAACAGTTTAACAGGTCGTGATCCCAGGTAGCGTGTTCTGGTATCTGACAAGTCTCCAGTCACTGGGTCCAAGACAGTCCTCAGAAGCACACCGTTCTGAGAAAGAGGAGCAAAAACACATTAGCAGAAAACCTCTACATAAGCTGAAATGTATAGCAACATAAACTAACATAACAATTGTGACAATCTTTGCTCTGGACTGTGCTCCCTGACTGCTAATTGATCAAGCATGAAAAACATTATCAGTTTGGATTTTAGGTACAAGATCGATCTGAACTCATGCCTGTACACAATCCCTGTATTACATTTGGTTTTACAGAGCTGTGATTTAAAAGTAAAATGTCTTCAACTTCAACATGAAACCTGAGATATTTAAATGTGAAAGAATACCTGAAGCCCAATATTAAGGTAGAGAAAGCCTATGGTTCCTTTGTCTCCAAGTTCATCCTGTTTCTCCACCCCCCCCATCTCCACGATACACAGACTCTCTGGCTGGGCTGGTAGGGCCTGCATACTCAGTGGCTGCAGGCAGTCCTAAACATGGTAAAGTTTCAGGGGGTCAGAAAAATAGCAACATGCAAAGGAATCCGAACATTACGTTTTTGTGTAACAGCACCATTCAATTGTTTAAACGTGCACGTAAACAAAAAAGATTCTTATCCTGTAATCGTTTTTAAAGTTTTTAAAATTTACACTTCTATTGAAATAGTTAAGGCAGACGAGATATTTTAATCCAGACCTTTTTTTGGGGGGGGGGAACACATTACTGAATACCCAAAGCATTATTTTCTGGCTTACACGTTTTAAACAGGGAAGCAGAAATCTCCAGTTAATGTCCAATGAATATTTTAAGGTTACTGGTCATCTTAAGAGGCAGTAAAAGTGGTCAGACAACTTTCATGTTGTACAAAGTTTTCCCTAAAAGAAGGATATAATTGTTTCCTAAACATGACAACATTACTTTGTACTGACCTAATAAGAAACTAAGATTAATTTAGCCTTAAAGGGATTTATGCCAATCATTAATTAAGTTCCCACCACAGGAACCTTTCCTGGATAGTAGGGACTTTTGGAGGGACTGTATTTTCACACTGAGCATCACTGTCTAAACTAAGTTCTGTAGAAGTTAATCAGCTAAAACATCTCTGTTTTTTGGGATTATTTACTTTCAGCAGGTTCTGCAGAAGGCTGCTGAAATTGTTGACATTAAATTAATATTTATCTCAGACGCTCCCGAGCCTTCAGGGAAATCCTATAATTAAAAATCTAGCTGAAGTATATTTCCAGTCATTTTTACATTTATAAGTTTACCAGGAATTTTTAAGTGGTTAACAATGGATTCCTTCAAACTTGGGTGCTAAACACAGGCTAAATTCTGTTACTCATTCTGCACAATGGGAAAGACCTGAGAGTACAGTGACAATGTGCAAATTTGGCTGAGCAGCACAGTTTGGTTTATGAATATGAGAAAAACTTTTCAACAGTTGAAAATACCCATTACCACTGCAAGGGCAATAAATTAAGAAACTAGAAGCAACATGACGTCCTCATTTTTAGCCTGAAAGGGCATGTGCATGTGTGTGCGCGCGTGTGAGTACACACTCTGACTCCACATACTGTGAAGATGACTGGCAAACGAATTTCTGTAGTGCAGCAGATAATGGATACTAGCTTTCAAAAGTGAACACAAGTGCCAAAATTTGCATGTCTGTCCCCTCAGAGCATGAAAATAGTCTTTGCTGTCAATCAACAATAAACTGAACGGCCAAATGTTACTAGGACCAAAACAAACCTCTATAGGAACAAACATCAAAGATGGCAAAGACATACCCAAAACTAAAGTACATGACATCTTGTTCGGATACAAGCTGTCATGGGCTCAATCACATGCCAGCAGATAAACCAGCAAAAGCAATTTCTGAGCAACACCTCCAATTCAAAACAAAAAAGGGTCTCATTGATAATCTCTGTGTCAAGCTCATACCGAAGGATCCAGGGAGATGATGCGAACAGTGTTGTCAGCCAGCCCAACAGCCAGGAATCGGGAGCGTTGCTCACCAGGAGGAACGTTGGCCAGGCTCATACAAACCACATCTGCAGACATCTCTTTCCTCTCTGTGTACTCATTCAGCTGGCCAGACTGAAAAAAATCAAAAGTGAAATACAGACAGCAGCAGGATTAATAAACAGATTTTCCGTCACCTCAGTTCAGTCATCTTCCTCTATTCAATATGGAACCTGAGATATTCAATATTAGTGTTAGAATTAAATCATCAGATACTCTGCAGGAAAATAAATTAAGTGAAGCTAATGATAAGGCAATTTAACTGTGCAGTCAATTGTGAAATTGCCTTTTATAAAATGAAGTGCTGAATAAGGCCGTCAAATCATTTGACTGATTAACCCCAAAAAAAGATTTCTTTTCTTTTTTTTTTGGGGGGGGGGGGGGGGGGGGGCACTGGGCCTTCACATAGTCTACATAAAGCTCAACGCAGTATTTTTGTGAAAACCTTTTATTACAAAGCATAACTAATACTTGTTAAACACAGCATGAAAGTGGAAACTAGGATTCTGCCAATGGACAATATTCCTGAGGATTGATGGCAGTATTTCTGTCTATTGTATTCATTTTTAATTAGTACGCAGTATAACTGTAACCTTGTCAATGAAACACTTCACCGTGTGTAGGGAAGACAGTGCAGTGCGGAGCAGAAACAGGTGATCTATTTCACACAGTAAAGATAATCGAACTATAGGCCGAAGGAAAAAAACATTTTTAAAAAAAAGAGGAATTTTCTCTTATGACCACTATTTACAGCAGCCCAAATCACTCATTGCTCTGAACAAGGAGAAAGCTGTTATAGCCTATGTTGTCTCACTTAAAGCTGGAGGTGATGAAATAGACTCTTCAGTTTTGGATTTCTTCACTCCACCAACAGTTTTATTTTCCGTGCACATGCCACATTGTAAGCATTATGGAGGCCTAACAGAATGTCAGAGGGGCACAAGAGGATGATCAGATAACACAAAAATAATCTACTTCCTTACCGGGTCCATCTCAAAGTAGACCAGCTCCCCACCAGTGAGGGCGATGACTACTTGCCGCTGGTTCACAGCACAGCGGACAATAGTTTTTTTACCAGGAGTTTTCCACTCGTTCACACGCTTGTCTGCTCGGATGTGACGGATACCATCTGGGTAAACCTGTATGGGGGAGGGAGTGAAAGAGCCACAGAGGTAAGATGGAGAGAAAAGACAAAGTACTAGATTGGGTTGATGATGAATAAATGGCCATCTTTGTGTAATTAGATTAATTAATGCATGAACTGTATTAATTATTTGTGCTGCTCATGTGCATCTGCATTACTTTGAAATTTCTTTGCAATGTCTAAGGGTGTTTTTACACCTATACTTCGTTTACTCTTTACTCTTACACGTGTAGCTTTTACCCATGGTCTGGTTTCTCCTCACACAGAGCGAGTCATTACAAACCACTTGAGAACGTTCAGTGAAGTTATTGGCCAGCTCATGTGTTTGGACCAGGAGCAACAAGAATACAAAATACAGGAAGTGCTGTGTTCTGAACTATTTGAGAACATGGAAAATTTATATTCATTTCACGGCTGGTTGCAAACCCATACTGACCTTTGCACGTCTACGGTACCCTGCCACATCCCAGAATGCAAAGCATATTTGGCTATGGGAAGCTCAAACTTGTAATGTGCACCTGAGCAGCTCAAAATTGAATCATGTTCACACAATAAACAAACTGCTCTGAAGTTCACTCGGAACTGGGCAGAGAACACCTGTTCTAATATCGCAACTAACGAACCCCACCATGTAAGAAAATAAGCCAGTTTGACTTAAATGGACTAAATGGCACAGTGGTGAAAATACCCAAAGGTGATGTGCAGATGAGGTACATTTACGCACCTGTACAAGTGCATCTTCACCCAGGAGTGAGCAGGAGAGAGTGGGTGTTGTTCCCAGAAAACCAGAATCTGTCACTTCTTCTACAGTCTCACCGATGGACAGAACCAGAGTGGCATTGACGAAAGAGACAATAATGTAGGCATCGAACTCATCTAAGAACCAGAGTAAACACAGTAATGATCAGAAGAAAAAATTACTAATGGCATCGAAAACACAAGTTTGGTTGCACACTGTTTCAGTAGGTGTTTATATGTTAGTTTACTTTAATAGAGTCAGCAAAGAAATGTTCATCTCCAGCATGTACTGCATGCATGCATGTACTGCATGCATGCATTATGCATGCATGCATATGCACTGCATGCATGTATATGCACTGCATGCATGTATATGCACTGCATGCATGCATGTACTGCATGCGTGTACTGCATGCGTGTACTGCAGTGCCACACTGCTTCATGTGGCTGTCACATCACAAACATAGGGATGTCTGTCAGGGCAGCTGCTCCAACTAGTGGTGAGTGGCTCCCTAACATCTTATACTAAACAGCTAACCAGTGATGTACATTAACATAACAGGAATATGTTTCACAGACTTTTCTTACTTTCAGCATGTTTTATAACCTTGATTAGCCACACACATCCTGGAACAAGAATATTCTTACCTTCTACATGTCTGCGTACAGTCCACACAGCATTGGGGTTACCGGGCAGTTCAGACACAGCCATCTCTGAAACCTGACAGAGGCGGAGAGAGGGGAACAGACAGGGTGAGGGAAAGAAAAAGAAAATTGAAAGTTTATCATCATTACAAAGACAAACACAACAAACCATTTTTAAAAGATCATCTTCACAGTAATGGAAGTAAGACATTAACAGGGTACAGCCAACATTGTGAGCGTAACTCAAAGGCTGGGAAAAACGTGACACCAAGCTAACAGTCGTTCAAAATGTGATATGAAAAGAAGGCTTTGTGTGTTTGCTGGAATCAGAGATAGTAAAAGACTCTTCAGTATTTGTTCAGAGAAGAGACATGAAAAAACTCATCAATTTCACAGCCAGCAAAGTACATGTGTGGGCTTTCTCTAATTACGTTAGAAAAAAAACAGTGTGTGTACCTCCAGTCCGTGCCGAAGGACCCTTAGAGTGGACCGGGGTCCTCGTCCACATGATACATAAAGCTGAGGTGTGTCCTCATTGGCCAAATCAGCAATCTGGAAGAAAGTAGGAAGAGAGTAGTCAATGAGCCAGAAATGTTCTGGTTTAAGATTTAAGAAAAAAATCTGTCTCACACCGCAACAAGTTCAGGCAATTAGATTAGTCCCCATGTTCATCTGACAGGACACTCACCTGACAGGACATGATTGGTGACAGGTTCTCCTGTTCATCCACCAGCACAAGATTTTTAAGTGGGCGTGGCTGAAAGAAGAAGGTGTCTCCCTCTTCCAGCGGCATTGCCGATGAGAACTCGGGCTCATCATCATCATCACCCAAGTGGGCAATCTGGTAAAGGTAACTAAGGGAAAGAGAAATAGAGGTTAATCAAAGACTGAGAGATACGAAAAGAAACACTTGAGTTTCTGTTTGCAACCTACTGGTTTCCAAACTCTGAAGACACAAAGAGGAAGCCAGTCTTCAGGACGCACATCGCTGTTGCAACGGGAATTGTGTCAAAGTACTTCAGCCTAATTTCTGTGACCTAAGAGACAAAACAAGCATCGTTTTTTATTACGGGAATATGTATTATAATGAGCATAAATAGAAAACCATCCATCCACTTCCGCTTATCCTTTTCAGGGTCGCGGGGGGCGCTGGAGACTATCCCAGCTGTCATAGGGCGAGAGGCGGGGTACATCCTGGACAGGTCGCCAGTCTGTCGCAGGGCCAACACACAGGGACAAACAACCATTCAAATTCAAATTCAAATTCAAATTCAAATTTTATTTGTCACGTACACAGTCATACACAGTACGATATGTAGTGAAATGCTTGGACAACTGCTCGTGACCTAAAGAAAACAAAAAAGGAAAAGGCTATGAATAAGAAAGGAAATAAATATGAAAAATTAAAAAGGGTAAATTTAACTAAGAAGGAATAAAATATAAATTAAGGTTAAAAATGAAATAACTGTACAACACAAATTAGAATGAAGGGTAAATTTAACTGGGAAGAATAAGATAAAATATATAAATTAAAGTTGAAAATAAAATAACTGTACAACAAAATACACAATATAGAACTATATAAGAATGTATGAAGAAATCAACACTCACATTCACACCTAGTGGTAATTTGGATTAACCAAATAACCTATCCCCACAAGCTGCATGTCTTTGGACAGTGGGAGGAATAGAAAACCAATAATGGTAAATGGCCTGTATTTGTATAACGCTTTACTTAGTCCCTAAGGACCCCAAAGCGCTTTACACGTTCAGTCATCCACCCATTCACACACACATTAACACACATAATGACAAAAGTTCAAGAAATGTTAATGAAGAATTTAAAAGTAATCCCTGCTGAGAACAAGAGTATTTGCGTTTGCTACTTTCTTGCTAAGCTAATGTCAACACGCTACAGATTTCCCTATAAAAGTAAAAGAGTGAGTTTATAAGCATTTGGCTCTTTCTGAAGAAGCTGAGGGAGCTAATCAAATTGAAAGTGAGCTTTTAATAAGATGAGCCATGAAAAAGAAATCGAGTAAAAAGCCTATTTTCAGACATTGGATAAACTGAGCAATTACATAAACTGGGCAGGATAAGATAAATACGACATGTTTATCTAGTGTTTGTTAATCAAGCAACTGTGATTCTAAGAAAGAAAAAATAAAGAAAAAAAAAACAGAAGCTGGAAGTGAACATAATTAGTCCCATTAAATAAATTTGTTAAAAATGTCTAGTTTCCATCCACCCTTACCATTTCTTCATCAGTTTCTAGAGTAACCTTAAAGATGTCTCCCTGCTCAGTCTGGGCCAGAAAAAAGAACATGGACTTGGTCTTGTGGGTAGCTGAGCACACAAATATCATGCCACGCTCTGGGTCATCCAGGTCGTTCTGTGGGGTGGAGCAGAAGAGAATGTGAGGGAGGATAAAAATAGACGTTCATGCAAAGAACAATGTGGGACTTGCAAAACAACCAAAATTCCACATGAACAGAGAAAAAAATGTTTAAAATCTACTTAGTGACTCACAGCTTAAAATCAGGTAAAGTCTCACGATGTGTACTGATGTTATGATGCATCAAAACACACTTAAAATCTGCACAGGAAATCCTGTACTATAAATATTTGCTTTTTAATGTGCATTCCTGTAAGAAGGACTCACTCTACGCCGTGGAATGGGACAGCGAATGTCAGGCTGGTCTCCAAAATTCTTGTAGGTGATGTAGTTTTCAGAGCAGATTAAAACCCCACTGGGCCCATCAGAACCACCAGGAACTGGAAGCATTTAGAAGGGTTGTCATTTTTAAAAAACATAATGATGAAGGAGTAAGAATTTCAAAAAAGCACAGTAATCTCTATTTTACAACAGAATGCTTTCTTTTAATACGACATCTAACGCTGTGTTATTGCGTTGGTAAACTTTTGTAGAGATCAGAGAGGGTGAATCTTTCTCCAGTGTTTCTCAGAGAAGAGACATGACAAACTCATCACATCTACAACACATTGATGTAACAATTCTTTGTAACCTCGCTGCAATGATTATCTTCTGAAAGCAAATCAATTTGTAAAAATGTTGATATTTCAACTACTCCCTACCTGATGAATAACACTACTGTTGTTTCCTTTAAATATGACCAACACTACTCAAATGCTCACCAGTTATGAGGAAATTTCCATGTTCTTCCAATGCCTCGCTGTACTTGCGGACCACATGGTTCAGGCCGAGATCCAGCTCGTAAAAGGTGAGCGTCTGTTGTGTGTTGGCAGCAGCTTCTCCTGTTGGGTCGTTGTCAGCTTCCTGTAGACATTAAACACACATGATTATTCTGGTGAACAAACAAAACATGACTGTTTTTTTCAATTAAAGTCATGCTGAGGTCAGAGAAGTTAAATCTTTCTCCAGTGACAGTCAGAGAAGAGACATGAAAACTCATCACACAACAACAGTTCAGTGTATGTGAAATTCAGCAGCCCTGCACGTTTGTGCTTTGTGTCCTTACCTCATAGTCCATCTCTAAGCAGGCAAACATGGGATTTTCAAACCCAACATCGACTCCAACCACATGGTAGACCAGTGTGTTTGCTTTATGGGCTTCCAGTGGAGAGGAGATGGTCAGTCTCGCAGCAGCATCTCTGTTCAGAATATACACCAGCTTCTGTTTCTCTATCGCTCCTAGTCAGATAAATGACAAAACATATTGTGTGCTTCATTTAACTGGTTTAATACAACTATTTATATGTGTGTATATAAATTTTCTTCAGGATTTAAACAATAGTAACTCAGCACCAGAGATGGGCAGTAACACGTTACTGTAATCTAGGGCTGAACGATATATCGCATTTGCGATAATATCGCGACATGATCAAGTGCAATTTTCTAACCGCAAAGGCTGCGATTATACTCTGGACATGTCCAAATTCATGGGCTGCATCCTCCTGAGGCCGCATTTGTAGACCGATTACGTCACAGCGACGTGCCGAAGGCTGTCCAAATTACTACCATATCCCAGAATTCATAGCGCGGCCCAGCCAAACTCCAGTTTCCAGCAATGGCGGCCGCTACTAAGTTTTAAAATTACTCATACTAATCTTTCTGGGTCACAAAATAAACTTTTAACATATTTTCTGGCGAGAAAGTAGTTGTGTAAACATCAAATATCTGCTCGGTTTATCAAGATATCCCATATTTGCAAAAGTGCTTCGACGTTTTCAGAGGCGTCTGCTACCCACCAGCTCGACAGCTAGCCGGGAGCTCGAGGGTTACTGATGCGGCCGAGAACGGCACAACTCCCGGCACATCATTTTCAGATCACCGCGGAGTTTCGCTGCTCGGGTTAAACGTAATATATAAGTCACTTAGACAACCTAAAAATGTTATTGTTGGGCTTTTTTCAGTGTTTTGTTTGTTCGTGAGTAAATCGGTTTGGCTGAGATTAAAGTTATTAGATTAGATAAAATAAAACTTTATTAATCCCCCGGGTGGGTTCCTCCTTGGTTTTCACACAGCTGACTAAACGTCAAACAGAAAACTTATTAAACAGAAGTATGAGACAGTCGAGAATTTACACCAGTGTCTGGTTATATTTTAGATAGCAAGAAGCAGACGGCCGAGTTTATTAAACTCCACCGAGACAGCGGTGACGCTAATCAGAACTAGACCGTCCAATTTCACGCCTTTAAATTTTAAAGGCGTGTTTGTGTGTGTGTTTATACAATTGCTATTATGTTTGCACTTTATGTGTAATGTTACTGACTGCAGAGATCAGTAAGATGTGTGTATTTTTTATTTATTAGTTTTATTTATTTAATATTATTTTTTAATTGAATGACTGTCTAGTAGTTCACAGATGTCGAAAAACTGAGTGTGGTAAAGCCACTGATTTTTTTTATGTATATTTCTGCAATCTGCACATTGTACTGACTTTCATTTTAATGTTTACACCAGGGTTCCTTGTCAGCACTTTATGCTCAGATGTTTGTAAGCTAAAAATAAACTATTGTGTATGTTCAAATATACTGTTGTGATTGAAGAAGTTAAATAAAAATGTCAGTCATCAATTCATGCATCACCTCATGTCATCATAACAGAGGTCTGTCTTCCAGGAAAGAACAGTTTAAAATTAATGTAATATAGTATTGGCCATACTATATGATGTATTGCTTGTCTTTGTTTAATAATACAGAAGACAAAGACCTTAAAAAATAATCGCATATCGCATCGCAATCGCAATATTGGGGCAAAAAAATCGCAATTAGATTATTTTCCATAATCGTTCAGCCCTACTGTAATCTGATTACTTTTTTCAGGTAACGAGTAAAGTAAGGGATTACTATTGCAAAAACGGTAATTAGATTAACGTTACTTTCCCGTAGGAACGCTGCGTTACTAAAACCGTGATTTTTTTGCGAGAATGTCTCATGACAGTAACGTAAGCGAGTGCGACGTTCGTAACAACAGCTGTGTGCAGATCAACAATGGATCATATGAGTGCGGGAGAGAGTATGAGAGTGCAGCATTCAAAGCGTGGAAGTACTGACCTTACTTTGAGTTAGATTCCATAAAAAGTGACAAAAACATTAGCGTCCGTTGTGCGTGGGAAGAAAACTTCTTTTTACAGCGAAAAAACCCCCCTAAACTTCCAAGCAAGCACCGAGTGCGCAACGACATAATGGGAAACTCACAGAGAAACTCGCGGATTCTTCCACTGACCGCTGCTGCACACCTGCACCAGGGTAAACCTCCGCCTACCCTACTCCTGCTTTACAGGTGAAAATAGAGCAACAAGACCACTAGTCTTTGATGTTATTTATTTTGTGTGTTTTACTTGCATCTATTTGAAAGAGTGAGTGTAAACACACACACAAAAAAAATATTTTATGTGCTGGAATGTGCAGAAAATAAGTTTAAATGTTAAACAAATTTCTTCCAGTCAGAGAATGTTGCATATAATTTAATTTTTGCTTGATGCATAAATTTAAAAGGTTAGAACTAATAAAACAAGTTTTAAAAAGAGACTTTTCCATTTGATTACATTTTGTATGATGGATTATGTAGAAAAAGTAGAATTGGGCTGAAAGATCTATCGCTTTATCACCTACTCAGGTTGTAAATCGTGTTTTTAAAAAGTAATTAAGTAATTAATTACTTTTGAAAATAAGTAATCAGTAAGTAACGGGATTACTTTTTTAGGGAAGTAATTGGTAATTAGTTACTGATCACTTTTTTCAAGTAACTTGACCAACACTGCTCAGCACACATTAATTAACATCATAATTGTTCCACAAAACACTTCTATCAAGGTAAAATTTTCTGATGTAGAACTACAAAATTTATAGCATTTGATGCTAGGGCTGCTCAATTAATCGAATTTTAATCACGATTACGATCTGGGCTTTCAACGATCATTAAAAATGACTGAGCCGATTATTATCCCCTCCCTAATTTATCCGCGACACCTTAAAGGCCGGTCCGTGAAAATATTGTCGGGCATAAACCGGTCCGTGGCGCAAAAAAGGTTGGAGACCGCTGATTAAGAGGACCCGAGGGAAGCTCGGAAAGCTAAGCAGAAGTTATTTGGAGAGTGACTGCCGTTGGTTGAAAAGAGAGTTTAAAAAAAAAAAAACTTCAGTGGTGTTGCACACTATTTTATATTATTTTTTTAAAGTCATTGTTAACCCTTTAAAGCCGGTCAGAGCAGCACGCTCCGTTTTGCGTAACTATTTTTAAATCCCTGTAGAACCTGAACCGTGTAAGCTAGCGCAATAATTTGTTTTGCATATGAAACCGGAGGAGTTGTACTTACATCTGATGCCATCAGCTTGTCCTCGGTCACGGTTTCGTTCCACATATAGCTTTGCAAAAATTGCATAAAAAGCGCTTGCAGGAACAAAAACATAATATTCCAGAAACACGCTTTGCCGATCCGATCAGCTGTTTGTAACACTTCCCACAGTGAAATGATGCACATGCTGTTTTCTTTGCAAATTTGCATCATAGGATTGTTTTTTGTTTTTCCTGCAGTATATAAAAATTGCTGTATCTCCAAAATAAAACTATGAAGACACTCAAAATAAATTTCCTGTGGTGGGAAACTATTTTTTGCAACTTTATTGTATTTAAAGTTTTGAGGGATAAACCTCTTAAATTTCTCCAAGTAGAAATATATGTAAACAAAACAAAAGCGATTTTCAATTTTTTTTGTAGTTTATTGCACTTTTTTGCAATTTATGTAATTACTATGGACTTAATGCATACATATTATTAAAATATGGGCTATAACAGTTGTATTGATGTATAGCAACTTGAAATGCTCCCACAAATGGCACTACAGCATGTAAAAAAAATAATATAAGCTCTGGTGGACTTGGTTCTATAGTAGGTCTTAAAGGGTTAAATTAATATCGTCAAATAATCGTGATCTCAATTTCAGTGAAAATAATCGTGATTATCATTTTTGCCATAATCGAGCAGCCCTATTTGATGCTGATTTATTATCTTAAGCACCTGTAAGGCTCTTGGGGTTAGGTCAATTATAGCAATATTTACACCACTGACATTATACTAACACACCAAGGCCCAAATAAAAGAAAAATAATCATCAGTCTATAAACCAAATTACCATCTAAGCTGACAACCTCTGTCTTTGCCAATAAATAAATGAATAAATAAATAACTGTATGGAGCCACAAAACATATTATAAAACCTATCAACTTTGCAGGTTTGTTAAAATGTCATGTTTTATTGTATTTGTAAGATCATAAAAGTAACTTATCACCAAATGGAACAATTTTGAATTGGGGGAGAAAAAAACAAAAGAGGCATCTGTTAGTATGTTTAGGCCTACTTGGGTACATAGATGTTACAAAGCTATCCAGGCCCACTTTGCTCAAATGCAAGTAGGACTCAAAGGATTCAAATTAAACACAGCCTATTTTAACAACAAATAAATTAAATACCACAGTAAGTTATTTAAAAATCACTACAGGCCAGTTTGTATAAAGTCTTGCTGCAAAGCCTTCATGCAGTTTCAAAGCTGCAGATTCACACACACTGTATAAACCTAAAAAAAAATAAAAAAGTACATTAGAATAAATACCTTTAAAACACATCAGTCTTAACTGATGGACTCTTTTGGAGTATATAGTTTTTGGTGTTGGTTTGTAATGTAAGGGTTTTTCCTGGCACTGAACTGGCTTTTTCGTGGTGACTACATCCAACGCTAAACACACCACAGCAGATTACACACAAAATCCTAGCAGTGTGTATGATTAAAAAAAAAACCATTGAGCTCTTGCTCTTGTTCACCTTCGTCAAAGAAAGGGTGCTCATCTTACGAGAGAAGAAAAATAGCAATATAAAAAATAAACAGTGCACAAACATCTGGATTCTGTCTGATATGATGGACTCTACATAATGGTCGAATGCTGATTTCATGCATACTTCATAAAATTCTCACCTATCATTACAGCTCTGCCTTTTGGGTCAACAGCAAGGAACTGTCCAGGAACAATACGGCGGCAGCCGCTCTTCCCAAATGTTTCCTGGTGGATCTTCTCAAACATATTTTTTGATGGATGATACTCCAGGATGACGATACGACCACTGTCACTCCCCACAACAATGTAATCTAAAAATACATAAATATCACTTAGAAACGACGCCAGCCTGTCAACATTATATTAATTATGATACGGTCATGTAATTAAAGCTTAGGTAATGAAAGCCAATGGAGGCCAACTTCCCCTTCTAATTGTAAATGAATAAAAAAAGAATGCACTACAAACAAAACATTAGTGTCAGACAAAAGATTTAATAAAAACCACTTAAAAGAAAATTATTAATACATACCATTTAATCTGTGCAATCCATGTTTAGAGTTACAAACACATGTATGTGAGTGCATATGATGTCATTTCTGTACCTTTGGTTCCTCCAGTGAGTCTGAAGGCCATCAGGGATCTGATGATGCCAAACACTTCCATTGTGAGAAGAGTGTGCACCTTTCCTGTGTTGGCATCTGGCCGTAATAATTCCAGGATCTTTCCTCTGGAAACAACAATCTCCTGCATCTTGGTTCCTACCAAAACATAATATCAGACATATGATGTGGATATTTTTATGGTTTTCCCTGAATCCTGCTTTTAAAAAAGCATTTTGTGATATTTCTTTTATGTATTTTTTAACCATGAGAAAACTATGCTTTACATTATCTCCATCAACATACTGAGTGAAACACCATGATAGGATAAACTCTAAGGACTATACAAACACAAGAAAATATACTTAAATAAAACAATTAATGCTAATTAGTGCTAATTCTCATAGAAATTGCAGTTAAAGGCTTCTTTGACAATAAAGGAGGGGTACCAAGCTTTGATAAATTAACCATGACCTAACCAGACATAAAGCAGTGACATCTGGCGCAAATTCACCTGAGAAGTTTCCATGGATGGCATGGGTGATGCCGGTGGCACGCTGCAGGGTGATGTTGTAGAGAAACATGGCTTCCACTCGAATCTTATTCAGAGGAAGCTGAAAGAGCGCTTAACCCGGCTCAAAACTGTAAACAAAGAAAACCAAAAGTGTATTTACAGTAAGGAATCAAGAAGTTGGAGACCACTGGACAAAGTCACAATAAGCTACGCGGTCGCACTGGTGACAAATGAGGGCTCTTCAAACTGAGGTCAGCTGTAGTGGGACTGTGGAGCAATATATAGCGACTGCACTCATCACAATATTGCTATGAAAAGTTGGTGGAGAGGTGTAGCGTTTGCTGTACACAAAATCCTACGGCGCCGCTAACGTTAGCTAAACATTAGCTGTGAGAAAATTAACGTTCACCGGACATTTATTTACTACCTCTGTGCTTGTAAACCGTGCAATAGGGGTCAAGAATTCCTTTAACACGAATTTAAACTACTCAAAACGATCGTTTACATCAATCCAACAGTATGAGAACATGGCCCATTCATACAAAGCGCCACTTCTGCTTAACGTCCCCCCCCCCCTTTTTTTTTTTGCTATATTACTTTAACTAGTGCAAACTTCACACACATAAAACATCTGTTTAATTGCGGAAGAGATGCAGTTCTGCAAGATATAATATTTACCGGTGTGTTTCGTAAGATGACTCTGATTTCAGATGGATAAAGTTTCATTTACGAAAACTATTTCCTTGAAACCCTGAGAAGCCGACGCTGAACCGCCGTTGGTGGGTCCTTTGCCAGCCAAACACGCCGTCGCAAGAGTTGACCTACACAGTGCCTGACGGAAATGAGAGACTGTAGTACTGCATTGTGCACAGCAGATGACGACAAAGACCTCAAGATTAACGGAATTATCGCGATTGGGCGCCATAAGAAAAACAATATCTGTAAAATAGTTTCCCATTGCATTTATTGCCCCTGTCTTCTGCACGCTTTATCATGATAGCACTCTACACTCTACTACACTATTTAGTCGAAAACAATAAATAACCCGTATGCTTGTTGCACACCAGAAAAGAAAGACAAAATGTAGAAAATAAATAATTATGTTTGTGTCCTTGATATTAAGTTACATTTAACTTAATTAAGGAGCCGTTAAGAAAAAATTAGCAGGAATTTTAAAATGGGGTGGCCCATAGGAGGGACGTGAGACAAATGCAGGGAGGTCCAGCAACACCAAGGTAGGCAGAGATGATGGAAAATCAGAAAATAAAAGCAAAGTAAAAGCAGTTTGTTAGGTTAGTTATATAATGATCATTGATATACACAGACGTACCTTCATAAAAACGCATTAGGAGATGTCACAAATCGTCCTAACACACTGTATGCTCTCTGTCCATTTAACACTGTGCTGTAATAAACTAACAAGTGTTATTATTGAGATGTTACTGCGGGAAAAGCATTATTGTAGCTCAATGTTGAAGCTGCAGTTTATAACGAAGGATTGCATGTTTTCGCTGTAAAACACGACAGCGTATATCAAACTGTGTGACATTTGCCACCCACAAAACGCGTTCTACATGCAATTGCTCTCGCTTACGGCCATATCACCCTGAACACGCCCGATCTCGTCTGATCTCGGAATCTAAGCAGGGTCGGTCCTGGTCAGTACTTGGATTGGAGATCGCCTGGGAATATCAGGTGCTGTAAGCTTTTTCGCTTCTACACACAAACTGCAGAGTGCGCTGATGCTCACTCATGGCGACAGCATTGGCTTTTGCTTTGAAAAAATACAAATGACAGTTTAAACACTGAAACTAATTTGAGCTGCTTTAGCTCATTCTCTAGTAGCCTACATGTTTGCTTTGTGAGTCCTACACAAACAGCACTTCCACGGACGCTGTAAGGTCCAATTCTTCCTGCGTTATATCAGCATCGCTGTACATGCACAGAGCGCCAGTACATGTTTTTATGCACATGAACTCGATAATAAACAATTAAAAAATGCATTTATATTTGTACAGTTAGTGGGGGACTAGGTTATTGTTCTTCTCACAGTTTCAGTCTGGTAAAGAAGTGTTTATTTCTCAATCCCACTGTGAGCCTGTCTGCTGCAGGACCGGTGTCTGTCAGACCAGCTTTCAACTCTGCACTCAACAGTTACCTCGTTTCATATAACTCATGCAATGTGAAAGCCCTTTTTTCTGACAGTTGGAGCTACAACTGCTACATCCTCAGATTGGCACCATTAAACAGGATACATCTCTAAATTAGAAAAGGATCATGATTGAGCGAGTGTACAGTGACAACAATATACCTAGCACAGCCGTTTTCATAAAGCTAAAAACTAAACTTCTCTTTTGAACAGAAAGTTGTTACTTTGGTGCCATTACATTGTTTTTTAAAAGTATGGACAAAAAAGTTTTATTTTATACTATCAAGCAATAAAGAGGTCATTGTTTAACAAAAACAGTTTTATATCTCCATGTAAGAGCTCAGGATCTCAGTACATTAATATTTCTATGACTGAATTATTCATATATACATGTGTGTGTTTTAAGGACTTGGATAATCGATAAATGGAAAAAGAATAAACCAGACAATGAAACAATCTTTTATGAGTGTTTATTTTTAAACCAGCCAAAATGATTAAATTAGAAACTAAATATAACAGCTGCTGGCTATGCTTCTAATTTCTGGTTGATATTGTAGTATTCTTTTAGGCTGGACGTCCAAATTGGGTGAGACGACTTTAGGTTTGAATGGGAGTTTAATTTGAATACATTTGATTTATGTAGCAGCATTTTAAAATAATAATTGTTAAATATAATAAATAAAAGACCTTAAAAATAATAGAGACAAAACCCCAACAATTAAATAATCCCCTATGAGCAAGCACTTGGTGATGGTGGGATAGAAAAAACCCTTTTAAGAAATGTTCGGCAGAATGAGGCTCAAGGATGAGCAACTGGTTGGGGATGACAGAAAAGACAAAATAAGAAAAAAATCAAGAGCATACGAGGACAAGACAAAACACATGATGGGAGGAAGAGGACCAACGTTACTGACACGCAGTAGTGATATATTAACACACTGAGTAAAAGACAGAAGTGCTCAGTGCATGATGGGAAGTTAATGAGCAGTTGTGGCCTATAACAGCATAACTAAAGGATGGGACAGGGTCAGCTGATCCAGCTGTAGCTGTAAGACTGATCAAAAAGGAAAGTTATGAGTTTAATGTTAAAAGACGAGAGCATTTCTGGTTAAACAGGACAGGGACAGGAAAGCTGAAGGGTCAGCCTCCCATTAGACTCATTAGACCTCACCAGAGTGAACAACTTTCTCTGCAGCAACACTACTCATAACTTTTATTCACACCCTGTCCTGATACTTCTATTTCATCTGCTATCAACAATAACCATACACTATTATTGCAATCTATACTACAGCTCAAAAGTCTGTAGAGAATTAGAAATGTCTTATTTTCTGACAACAGTAAAAATCGTTTAGATGTTTTACTAAATTAATCAGAAGCGTAAAGAAATATAAATAATTAACGGTAACATTTATCATAAATCACAAATGAGATTTAGTGGAATATCTACTTAGTGTTGTTGAGACGTCGGTCTCTCCGATTCTTTTTGTCTCGGTAGAGATCACGCAGAGATGTTTCCAAATTTCACACAATCCTTTTATTACCCATTTTCCTTACAGATGCATCTGGAGATCAGCACACTGCATCCTGTGCAGTCCTACTCTAAAGGCTGATCTGAAGAGTTTCACACAACAGCTACAGTTATAGTCTCTGGTCTCCAATTTCTACAGTAAATCCCCCACAATGGAAAAACACTGGTAAAGTGGCCTGGGGTGCTGACACCCTGACCCCCATCTCCTTTTAAGGTAATGTACATTGGCAATTGTCTGCCACTCACCCTCAGTAAATCTTGCTACTGTCCTGTGTTTGGGGTTAATTGCCCCACTTCCCTGCACCCCAGTTCTTTGTTCCCATCCCAGGACTATTTTCTATTTTCTAATCTTAAATCCTATAAACAACAAAATCATACTACGACACACACTAATAAACTACATTCACTATGACCTCAATACCTATTAGACAGTCCATTATTTCTACAGTGTACTGTTATGAAAACAACAGAATGATGATGAGACACTGTGGTAAAGTCTTACAGGTATATTTGCAGATAGTTATCAATACAGGATAAACACTGTGGGCTCCAGGAGACGGGGCAGAGGTAGGGAAGGTTGTCTGGAGGCACACTCAGACACTGTCACAGAAGGTCATGGAGATCCGTAACACTGAAACGTCTGCACAGAAACAAAGAGTGAGCAAAGGCAAGAACTGATGGAAAATGTGACATGACTGTGGCATAATACGTTACCTTGGTACTGCAATGATCTTGTTGTTTAGAAGCCAGCATGAAGACCTCGTGAGGAGCAGGCGAGTAATCAGCTGATTGTTCACAAGTGACTGAGGGACGGGAAGGTGAAGGAGCATCCCCTAAAAAAGACAAGCACACGGACAACAACACAGGCATACACCGAAAGAGGAGAGAGAAAGAAGCAGGCCAGCAAAAGAGAGCAAGGGAACCATGACATCTACTGAGGCCCATTTTTATTTGATACATCGTATCACCAGATGTCAGTTTGTGATGTTAGATCCCAACTTGTCAGTCAAGAAATCTTTTTCCAAAGATATCAGCACAAACCAAAATCATTGTGTGGATTAAAAACAGTAAATTATGGAGGTTTGTGATGGATCATTCCATTTTCTGTTTGTAATCTGGTTAAATCAAATGTGTTCTATGTGTCCATACAGGAGTGAGTGTTACTAAAATTTGGTCCATGTATAACTGTGTAGACATTTCCTAATGCATCATGGGTGATTTAACCAATAAAAGATTCATTAAACACACATCTGTGAAAACATTACTGGTAAACGTTGTAAAAAGTTATGTTAAAGCAAATATAATTTTAAAATTAAGACAAGAATGTTTGAATCTGACCACAAACTTTTGAGCAGTAGTGTGTGTTGTATGCATGTGTCTGTCTGTATCTGATCAGGATTTTGTCATCAGTTTCAACAAGACGCTCATTTTTTAGCTGTTTCTGTCATCAAAATTGAGTTGGAGTGTTTTAACTCTGATGGCAATCTCTCCCTAACAAGTCCACTTTATTGCGTGCTCATTTTCTCCTATTAGTGGCTCATACGTATATAATTAGGAATCATGCATTAAGTCAGTGGTCCTCAACCTTTTTTGCGCCACGGACCGGTTTATGCCCGACAATATTTTCACGGACCGGCCTTTAAGGTGTCGCGGATAAATACAACAAAATAAAACTAGTACCGGTACCGAAAAAAAAGAAGATTTATTCATAACACACTTGAAAAGACCCAGGGACACCGAGTTAACGATAAAAACGATAACAAAATAACGCTGAAAACCGATAAAAACCCTGAAAACCATACATTTCACACCTGAGCCTCAACTCTCGCGGCCCGGTACCAAACGACTCACGGTCCGGCACCTTTCCGAGGCCCGGGGGTTGGGGACCGCTGCATTAAGTGCACTAATTTCTCACACTTATCAGTGGCTCATGGTTGCTTAAGGCCTATGTCTGTACTTGACCACAGAGGCAGAGCATCATTCAACCTGCCAGCTGCCTATCTTGGGAGCTTTTCAAGGATGACAGACTCCACTTTCTCTGCAGCAAGACAGCTCATAACTTTTTTACAGTGTCTCCCTGTCCTCAACTTCTATATATTCTTCTGTAATAGATAACTATACACTATCATTGCAATCTACACTACAG